TATATATATATATATATATATATATATATATATATATATATATATCATACAAGAAACTGGCACAGAAATAGCCCAGCAGCATGCTTATTTAATCCATCCTGTCTGATATATATGTAATTGAATAATACACTTATTAGCTCCTGTGTTTAACTGGCTAGTGAAAGATTATATTAAAATGAGGTGGTAATGATAATGGATTTTACAACACTATTACAAGTAGTATTACAAGTATTCCTATTGAGAAGGAAGGACTCATTGGAGAAGAGCCTAATGCTGGAAAAGATTAAAGGCAAATGAAGAAGGGGATGACAGAGAATGAGGTGGCTGGATGGAGTCACTGAAGCAGTAGGCGTGAGCTTAAATGGACTCCAGACGATGGTAGAGGACAGGAAGGCCTGGACGAATGTTGTCCATTGGGTCGTGATGGGTCAGACACGACTTCGCAAGAGTTACCCTCCTCTCCTTCTGCCTTTTCTTCCCTCCATCTCCCTCCCCAAGTAGATAAAATAGGGAGTTATGTACACATATAGTACAAGAAAATTGTGTTTTAATTGTAGTGGAGCACTTTCAAATTAATAGAGGCCAAATAATTTTTATTAATTTCTTGGAGAATCTATTTCACAAGTAAAAGAATTATAAGTATTTATTTCAAATACTTATACACTGTACATAATGGAATGCAGTCCCAACTCTGTTCAAAATGTAAACTGCAATGAATACAAAAATACCCTCAAATTAAAAGTACATTAAATACATAATTAATCCAGATTACAACACAATAGTCTTGGCTATTTCTAACAGGTAATTAGTTCTGGAATCTAATAAATCAATGAATCAGCAACTCTCTCAGATTGAATTTTGTGGATAAGTATAATCTTTATTGTCATTGTACTTACATACAATAAAATTGGTTGGATAGAGAAGAATCCTGAGAATACCATGGACAGCCAAGGAAAAAAATGGATCATTAGATAAATCAATCCAGAGTTCTTTTTTCAAGCAAAAAGTAAGAAAGAGAATGACCAGCAGCAAGTTTGATTACAAATTTGATTACAGTGACAATTAATGCCTTCACTGCAAGACCTTGTAGGAAGTTAGCACCCACCCCTCTCCTAGAAAAATGAAATATCCTGGGAAATATTGAAAAGGCATAATATCATATTTCCCTAGATCAGAAATGGAGAAACATGTTTTAGGCAGGAAACAGACACACTCTTACTAGCCCCCATTTTTCTTAATGGGCCATTAAAATGGCCTACCCAGTCTATTATAACAAAGAGTCACCCTTCAGCTCCAGGGTGATGGAATTAAGACATGATAGTATCAGCCCTTTACCCATCTCACCACAGAGCACCTGGGAAAAAGCAATGCTCAACCAAACTTGGACTGAAAGCACAACCTAAAGAGTTGCCCCTGCATGATCCCATGGGAGTCTGACAACCAATAAGAATACATTTTCTTACACAGGAACAGGAAGCAGAGAGATGGGGCCAAACAGAGAGAATAAAGCCAGGAACATTCAGCCCTTCTTTCTCTTTTCTTCTTCACTCAACATCTTGAAGCATGTGATCACCTTTTCTGTTCAGCATCTCAAGCCATATGATCCTGTCCACCATTAAACCATCTTTCCAAGCAGCCTCCATGTTTCAAGTGTCTTTTTCCCTGCTTGGAACTGAACCCAGAACAACATTTCTTCCAATAACCTGAAGATGACTGGGGACATCTCTCTAATTACTAAGTATTGACACTGACTTGATGGCACATAATGAAAGTAGCGATTTCCACCTACAGGAAGGACATCGTTAAGGCTGGCATCACCAAGAACCTCTTAGCTATTAGTGGGAGACAATTGTTGGGAAAAAGATAAGCAGAAATAGCAAACATTTTGTCACGGGCCGCCGTGGGGAAAGGAAGGAAGGAAGGAAGGAAGGAAGGAAGGAAGGAAGGAAGGAAGGAAGGGAGAAGATTCTTGAACTTAGGCTCAAACTTTAAATTTTGTTAGAAACTGCAAAGCTCCATGCTTTTTGTTAACTGGAAAAGAGCACAAGGAAATTTGTTTTGTCTATTGACAAAATGCATAAACTCCAGGGGTGGGTTTCTACCATTTCTAACCTCTTCTATAGAAGAGACAAATCTACCATGCCGTTTAGAATCGGTTCCAGCTCCCTCCCCACACCCGTCTGCACCACTCTTGCCCCGCCTACCGCCCACTGATTGGCTGGCTGACCAATCGCCCTGCCCTCATCTAATAGTCCTATCTAAACTTTAAAGTCTTAAAGCTGTCAAGTTTGAACACCCCTGGGTTTTTTTTCTAAAGGGTTAGGGGTGCAAGGGTCTTGTAACTTGACAGCTTTAAGACTTGCGTGCTTCAAATGCCAGAGTTTCTGAGCCAACATTTTGGTTGCTAAGCAAGAGCGTTAAGTGAGTTTCACATTTTACAAGTTGGGCACGCTCACCTAGTCACATGACTGCCAAGCCACTCCCATTCCTACCCAGTCACATGGCTGGCAAGTCACTCCCACAAAGCAGGCCACACCTACAGAAGAGGTTCTAAAAAAATTTGAAACCCACGACTGATTTATTCGATCATTAGCCTGCTTTCTATTGTTGGAAGAAATGTCCATCTGGGTTCAGTTCCAAATGGGGAAAAAAAACACTGGAAACGTGATGACTGCTTTAATGATTTAATGATGAACGGGATCACATGGCTTGTGTTTCTGAGCAGAAAAAAGGACAGAGATGCTGAAAGTCCCTGGTTTTATGCCCTCCCTGGGCTTTGAACTTGAGTTTGTATTCTGATTGGTTATCAGACTCCCATGGAACCATGCAGGGGCTGTCTCCAAGCTTGCTTGACTTGCTGGGTGATGATGTTATCTTCCCAGGTGTCATGTGGTGATATAGGTAAAAGGCTAATACTATCACGGTCTGAGGCCCAAGCCTTAATCTCATCACCCTGGAGCTGCAGGGGGAGATCTTTGTTATGTAGAATAGACTGACTCAGGCCTTGATGCCTCATTCACAAAAGTGCGGTCGGCTGAGGTTCTGCCTATCTTGAGTTTCTACTTCTCTTTTTAGGGGAAATATTCTCCTTTTTTAATATTTCCCAAAATATTTCATTTCTCTAGGAGAGGGGTGGGTTTTAACTTCGAACACCTTTAAAGGCAACTTGAAACAGAGACTTCCCATAGGAAGTGGAAATTTGTCAAATCAAAGCATGAGGCATTGGTTAATAGTACATATGTAGATTTTTCAAGCAAAGGATTGGTTATCATAAAAGGCCACCATGATTTCTATACAGGTCATCCTCAATTTACATGAGTTCATTTAGTGACCATTCAAAGTTACAATGGCATTGAAGAAAAGGACTTATGACCATTTTTCACACTTATGACCGTTGCAGCATCCCTATAGTCATGTGATCAAAATTCAGCTGCTTGGCAACTGACTGATTTGACAGTTGCAGTGTCCTGGTGTCATGTGATTACCTTTTGATAACTTCTGAGAAGCAATGTAAATTAGGGGTGGGCTGCTGCTGGCGTTGTTGCCAGTTGGCTTCGCGCATGAGCAATTGACTGTAAATTGTTTTGTGCATGCACAGAACATGAAAAAATTACTAAAAAACATGCTGGCAATGGCAGCAGCGACCAGGGAACTGGTTCAGGGGCGTGGCCAGCCTGGGTCACTGCTGGTTGTATGACCAAGGTCAAAATACCACTATTGGTTCACCCGAAACAGTGCGAATCAGTAGCAACCCACCTCTGATGTCAATGGAGAAGCCAGATTCACTTAATAACAATTGCTGTGATTCACTTAACAACTGTGGCAAGAAAGGTCGTAAAATGGGGCAAAATTCGCTTAACAACTGTGTAACCTAGCAACAGAAAATTTGGGTTCGATTGCGGTTGTAAGTTGAGGACCACCTATGCTAGGAAGGATTTGCCAGTGCCTTCTATAAAGCAGTTTTTCTCAAATTTGGCAAGTTCAACTCCCAGAATTCTCCAGCCAGCTAAGTTTGAGTAACACTATTCCAAAATATTCTTCTCTGTCTTTTTTCCAGGGGATGCGGTAGGCCGCTTTCTTAGAGACATCTGCTCAAATGCAACTTTTTCTATTGTTTCTATGCGAACTCGTCTTCTATAGGACGGTCAGAGTCTGAAAGGTCAGAAACGGCGTCCGTTCAAAATTACACTGAAAGATATTAGTTCTCAGCCTTGCACCTAAAAAGGGGGGGGGGACGGTCTTGTTCACAACTGCTTGAAGGCACCTCCCCTTCCGGGCTCCAAGGCGGGTAACGGGCGCGGAGATCCGCTTCCGTTGTAAGCTTGATCTCATGGTTGCTCCCTCGGGAGGATCGAGATTGCAAGAGAACAGCAGGCAGGGCAGCGGCGGCCGCAGATCACGATGCTGCACGAGGGCGAGAGAAGCCTGCTAGTGGCAGAGCTGCTAATGGTGCTCAGCAAAGGAGATGGCAGCAGCGGTGTGGGAGATGTCTTCTGTTTGTGCACCCGGGCATTCGTCGAGTGAGTCGATGTCAGGCGGTCGATCTGTGACTCTTCTGGATCGGCTAGATCTGTGTTTCTCAACTTCAGGATCTCTTAGATGCATGACCTCAAATCCCAGAATTCTCCCCAGACAGCTTGCTGTTATCCCATCTTCAAAAATGTTGAGGTTGAAAAACACTGGTTTACACCTGATCCTAGCTGGGGCGGGGGGGATACGGTGGCGGAGATTTCAAATTTATGTTTTGAGTCTTTTGCAAGAAAAAGAACCTCTTGTGCGAATTCAAAGGCATAACAGATGACCATGTTACCTCTCAGCGCTTAGGAAGTTGGTCTTATCGTCCTCGCGTAGATCTCAATGGAAATTAAGTCCGAAGGCGGGCAGTATACGCTTGCACCGGGGTTGATCGTTGCCTGGCATGCTTTTTGGGGTGGAACAAAAGTTTCTTTTTTTTTTTTTAAAGACGCATTTTGTAGGGGAAAGTTGTTGTGCCCATTTAACCAGAGCATCTTGATACAGCTCAGTCTAACAAGTGTGTTTGTATAACATGAGACCAAAATAAACAAACGACATTATTCATTAATTAAAGCCACACTGTCTTAATAATGTTGCATGTAAATGTTAATAGAATAAACTATAGAGCTGCAACTTTTTTTACTGTACTATTATAAGCATAGAATAATGCTTTCTAAATTAGTCTGAAATATGTCTTCTAAACTGCAAATAGGAATTAGCTTTTATTAACAATATTCTTATCTGCTTCAGCTGCTACACAGGTTTTTATACCTAAACTGAAAATACTAGACTTCCCTTTTATAACTCTTCATTACTTCAGTTCAAAGCTATCTGAAGGATTATTTATCTCAGTGCAAGTCTGCCAGTATTTAGAGATTTCATCTAGATATCCTACCTATGCAAAAAGAGGTCTTTTGGGGGTGATTCCCTGCTTTTGTACTGATCTCTTTCCCAACCAAATTAGGGAAAGCATTGATAGCACAAATGGAACATCTGATTATGTGCTTTTAGCTATTGAAGGGATCCAAGTGATAAGATCTGTCTCTTCATTGCTTATCTTTGAATGTAAGAGAGAGCTTTTTTTTCTGCCTACAATAGTATTCATTCTTGTGTAAAATTAAACAGTTGCAACCTTCTTTCTGTACATGTACCAGTTTAAATTAGATTGTGTACAGTATGCTTATTTTTGGCTGGATTGAAATTTTGGCACTGATATACCAAGTTAAGTTTTAAAAGCAAGTTAAGCACATGAAAGACATACTGGAAAAAGCTCTTTTTGTTACCCATTCATGTTGTTCCTTGATGCTTTACTCCCATATCTCATTGATGTTATTGATTTTTTTCTCCAGAGATCGAAATTTATACAAACTAGGCTTAAAAGGCTTTTATGTTAAAGATGCTGATGACAGCATAGGTGAGTTTTTTATTGAAACGTTTCTTGTTAATTTTGGCTTTTTGCAACCATTGTTATAGACCAGTGTGAGAATTAATATCTTCAGGTGTGTTTAATTGACATTTAAAGCTTTTATAAAAAGGCATTACCATAGCTGGGCTAAAATATCTGGTCAGCCACTAGATTACAGCCAAGAGTTGGAATTTTTCTTTTTACTGTCAGATAATTTCCTATTTTATAAATTCTGTGTGAAATTAAATTACACTAAGTTCCATTAATTCATACAAAAACACCAAATAATGGGAAACTTCTTAAGAATAATTCTTCATGAAGAAATACAATTTTAAAATCTATAAGGATTTTGTGTTATACTTACTCCTTTTATACTGAATATCAGACCACTAGCATACAAATTCTGCAATAACCAATTAAGTCCCATCCAGAACTGCCATGGCTTACAAATAAATAAATCCTACATAAGGATATGTTTCTTGTTAAGGTGAAATGTTTAACACAAGTGAGAATACATAGACAGAGTGAGTTCTTGCTTAAATGACAGTGATTGGGACCAGAATTTATGTTGATAAGCGATATGTTGTAAAGTGTGATGTCACATGACTACACCACTTAGCAACAGCAGTTCCAGCAGACTCCAGTTAAGCACATCACCATACGTTGCTAAGTGAGAATCTTGTGTGATTGCAACTTCTGATTTCCCATCAACTTTGCTTGTGGGAAACTGGCAGGAAACGTTACAAAACCTAATCATGTGACCACCAGCACTGTAAAAGTAGAAAATCCAGGTTGGCAGGTTCCCCCGTCATAATCACATGACGGGAGGCTGCTATCATGACTGGAATTTTGAGGACCCTCTTCTTTATACTAAAACATTCTATTAAATACGACTCATTCAGCACCGCGTTAAATCTGGTCACTGAACAAGTGTTTCTTAACCGAGGACTATATATATATATATATATATATATATATATATATATATATATATATA